TTATCCTTAATTTTAATTAATTAAAAAGGCCAAAAAAAAAAAAAAATAGTAGGAATCTACTCATATCATCAACTCGTTCATTAATATAAAAAATATTCAAAATATATTAGAGTTCAAATTTTTTTTATATAAATTTATTAAAAATATTTTAAAATAACATTTTTTATTTTAATGATTTTTAATTTTATTTAATTTTTATAATTACTGAAAAAAATGATATTGTCTTTCACAATAAATGAGTAAATTTTTTTTCAAAAAAGAACAAGACTTAGAATTAATCTTGAAATCGTACTCATTTACATTTCCACAACAACTTTACAATCACGTTTATAAAAATATTATATTTATCTCAAACTTATACTTAATTAAGCTAAAATTTAAATCAAAAGCCACTAAAATGTATCGGTAGCTTACGTCATTATCTAATGTCTTGGCTTGCCACCATATCATTTTTGTATATGTATAATTAGTTTAATTACAGTAGAATACATAAGAGCCGATGGATCTAACTTAGCATACAATGCAAAACTGAATATGATGGATCTAGCAGTGGTACAAACTAGTTCAACGCCACTGCTAGATTCATTAGGACATGTCCAACCGAAACTTTTATTTTTTATTACAGAATGCAATGCAGTAAAATCAAAAAGTGTCGTGATTCATCTCCAGTGAAATGTCATTTTGCCCTCAAATCATTGTTCATTTCTTCGCGTCTTTTTCGGACGAGTTCGGTAGAGAGAAAGAAATGGCGCAAGTGAACAGTGCGACGCCAACATTGACGTTGCACTGTTCAACTGCGATCAAATGGGGAAGAAATGACGTTCGGTTGCGACATTTGAGGGCCTCCATTCGGCTGTTTGCCGCCCGTCAAATCCATCGGCACTGTGTCCACCTTGATTCGACACATGTAGAAGAAAAGTACAATGGCTAGGCAAGAAATCGGGCAATAATTTTCCACAGCTGACTGCAGTAGGGGTCGCCGGCGCCTATGAATAATTGTACAGAAATTGGTTGACGATCTTATGAGCCTGCTAAAGAAAGTTAAACGCTTAGTAACGTTTGATTTTGGGTTTATTTTGCAGGAATCATATCAAGTAGTAAAAAGTTTCACGGCAGCTTTCAGAGTTTGAAAAAATAATTGAACTTGTCTCAAACTTCTAGAGAACCTATTAATGTGGACTTCAACTACAATACCATCACATTGTTGAGGAGATGCATATCTTTTTATGTTATATGCATAAATATTTTTTTAAGATTACAGTAGAGCAGTGCAATCCCATGAAATTTTAATTATAAGTTTGTAAATAGATGAATTGTAGAGAAAACATATAGGGGGCATCAGAATGTGAAAGTTAATTAAGGGATATGATGTTTTAAGACCTCCTCTCACCTAAAAATAGAGAACATAGTGGCATGATGTTTGGGTCAAACCTGCTTAGTCCAAGAAGGAGAGTGGAGCTAGAATACAGGGAGAACATAAAGGATTTAATCTTGGGATTTGTCTGCTTCATCCATATTATACAATTTTTAGGACGAAACATGTATAAAGAGCATAAGGGTAAAACGTTGGAAATGATGTTGAAGGAAAAATTGCATTCGAAGAATGGGAGCCTAATACTTTTCATAGTTGAATTGTAGAGAGCACACATAGGGGGGATCACATTTTGAAACTTAATTAAGGCATCTATATTTTAATCCTCAAATAGCAAGCCACCCAACAATAGAGAACCTTGTGGCATAATGTTTGTGTCAAACTTGCTTAGTCCGAGGAGGGGTGGAGCTAGAATACATGGAGAATATAAAGAATTTAATTTTGGGATTTGCCTTCTTCATTCGCATTATACAATTTTTATCATCAGAAAAGATAGGGATAGAACATATTGTTATCCTAGTGCTATGAGGGAGGCACAAAGGCAGGCTCCGATCACCATTAAGAATGAAATTAGCAATAGTAACAACTGGATTAACTATGTGTAGGATAGAGGTACATTCCTCCATATCAGTCAATGACTTACCATTTATCTAGGGATCCCAGATTAACAAATGAATCCTGCCTTTTGAATCAAACGACGGGCAAGCACCTGCTTGCACTCACGTCATTGAAAAGACGACAACCCATTTAGCACTTCTTTTTAATTTTTCATTCTTTATTATGGCATAATATAATAGATATTTTTTATCTAGGATAAATTTGATCATAGAATTTTCATAATTAGTTATAAAATCTTTATTAGCCAAGCGTTCATAATAATATTTTTTAGGCATACCTAATAGTATTATTTTAATAATACTTAAAATAATCACAATAAAATCACTTTAAACATATGCACCCTCTTGAAAAGGAGAGAATTCACAACCATAGAGGCAATACGGCAACCATACATACAAAATGTTTCTTGTTTATTTTGAAATGTTAAGAGCTAAATGCTCAATTTATTTCACGTAAAAGATTTTGTTATACGTTTTTACAACAAAAAATAAGCCACCTAAAACTCATATAATCTTGTTAAGCAACTCAACAAAATGAAGTGGATAAAACAAAACTCAAAACAACACATAATGATAATCCAACAAGAATGTACGATAGGGTAGTCTTAAGTCCCAACAAGACAAGGAACAAAGAAATGAGTTAGGCTCAAATTAGCACTACAAAATTAAATATACTCCACCCAAGAGCTAGGATAAGAAACTTAGAACAATGCAACAAGGAACAACCCATCCACAAGTTAATAGAAAAAAGAGTGAATGCCCTGCCAACTTTTCTATCGATGCATTTTAAAGCGAGAATACTACTTAATTTTTCTTGTAGCATAAGTGAGACAATGAATTTGATGTCCAAATTTTCTCCCATTGTATTCTTTCCTGCTAAAATAGATGTAGGAAAAAAACGAGTAAAAGGTAGCCAGTTTTAGAATCCTCATGCAAGTGATCACACCCCATAATATAATCAAGCAATTGATAGAGAATAAGACGAAGCAAGTAAAAAGAGCATAAGGGTAAAATGTTGGAAATGATCTACAAATAAAAATCACATTCGAAGAAGAGGTGCTTAACATTTTCCATTTGATGAATTGTAGAAAGCACAGGTAGGGGGCACCATAATATGAAACTTAAGGCATATGATGTTTTAAGGTCTCCACAAATAGCAAGCCACCCAAAAACAAAAAAACCTAGTGGCATGATGTTTGTGTCAAACCTGCTTAGTCCAAGAAGGAGGGGTGGAGTTGGAATAGAGGGAGAATATAAAATATTGAGATTTGCCTTCTTCATCCACATTATATATTTTTATCATTAGAAAAAAATGGGGATATAGCATATTGTCATCCTAGTGCTATGAGGAAGTTACCAAGGTATGCTTAGAGATGAGCCCCTTTAAGAATGAATTCATCAATAGTAGCACCTGGATTAACTATGTGCACGATAAAGGTACATTCCTTCGTATCAACCAATGGCTTATCATTTATCCAGGGATCCTAGATAAACGGAAACTTACACATGTTCCAGGCTTTTAAATGCAAAGCATGTGTCCTGCCTTCACAGGGAATGACGAGCGAGCTACTGCTTGCATTCAGGTCATTGACATGACAACAACCCATTTTAGCACATTTTAAAAAATTTCATTCAGGATTATGACATAATGTAATAGATTTTTTTTTTTTATCTAGGAAGAATTTGATCTTCTAATTTTTTATAATAAGTTATAAAATTTTTATTAGCCAAAGCTTTCATAATAATATTTTTAGGAATACCTAATAGTATTATTTTAATAATACTGAAAAATAAATCACAATAAAATCACTTTAAAC